TGCCTCACCGGCAAAATTGAGTGAAAGTAGATAAATTAGAGAAAGTCAATCTCATCATGCTGAGCAAGATCATGTGGGCCTGCTACACTCCAAACTCGTTACCAAAGTTGCCATTGCCGTACGACGTCGTCCAATCAGGCTGAGTGTCCAATAACCAGGAGACTGAATCGAACATTTCGAAGCTATTCGCACTGGCCATGCCATTGGGCATTTGCAATGGCATACTTAGCGTGTTGATGTGTGGGTTGAAATTGGGCAAGGTATGAGCCGGGTTTTCCACAGCGCCAGGAGGTGGTGTAGAATTACTGGAGGAGTCCGGATTCGTGGGGTTTGTCATGACCGTGTTTTCGAGCTGTTCCGCAGCTCCACTAACCTGCGCTTCTCGCCAGCGGAACGCGCAGTCAAAGACCACACTCATGCTCATCCGACTACGGATGATTAGGCCGAGAGGGTCATCTAGCATCCCAGTGCTTGGTCGCCTCTGGTTCTGCTGCTGTTGATGCTGTTGCTGATTGTGCTGATTGAACATGGTGCTCATGCCTGAGTTACTAAGAGACGGCGACTGAGAGAGGCTGTGTAGGCTGCGGCCGCGGGAACTCTCTTTCCACAACTGTGCCAGAACCTCGGCGAATCGATCCAAGAGATCGTTCGACCATACTTTGGATTTCCTCAGCGCATCCACAGTCTGTAGAACAAATTGTCGACCTTTGTTCGCGGGAAGCTTGCTGGCAAAGTCTGAGTTGAGGAGCTTGAGCAAGGCGAAACCGGCTGCAAGAGCCATCTGCATGACGTAGTAGGGAACGTAAGGCAGCCTGCCCTCGTGTTGTATCTTAAAGACACGCTCCAGATAGGCCGTCGCGGCGAAGTACAGCGCGACAAGGTCGTCCCGCCGTTCAAGCCGTATCTCCGGGCTGAAGAACGAGTACAGATGCAAATGTAAGGAGACGGCGTAGTGGTACAGTTCTTCCAGGCCTGTTTGAAGTCAGAGAAGTCCCCATGAATGAGGGTGTCATATATACCGCTGTCCACCCCGTCCAGGGAGCTGTTTTCTTCCTTCACACGCTCTTCCTTGAGACGATCTGCTTCCAGACTCATGTAGCTTGTGGCGGCGCCTTCGGCGAAGCGATGGCTGTTGGCGGAGTACAGGAGCTTGTTGATCCTGCTCGCAGCCATTTCCTGGCGAAGGCGGACGAACAGTGTGGGTGGTATAATGCGCATGTGCTCTTCGTCGTCTACTTTGAAGTCGAGTGTCGAATCGTAAAGGGTTATCGAGGGCTGTCCGTTTCCTGTTGACACACTGCAATACGTTAGCTTTGGCAGTATGCTTTGATGGTACAAACTCACGTTTGCGCAACGATGTTGCAGACGGCCCACGTCCTCAGCCGATCGTGTATATCCTCCCGTCGCAGCTGCATTTTCGTTCTGGAGAAGTCATCCGGGTGCGTCGGCTGATGCAGACCAATCTGCATGGCAACCTGCATCATAGCGCCACACAGTATGAAAGTCGGGTCGGTCACTGTCCGCTCTGCTGGGAGTGGCCAGGTACAGAGCAGACACAAGGCCTTGACTACATGGTGGTTCGGCTGATTTCGAATAGAGTCCCAGATGAGATCGCTCAGCGGCTTGGAGAGATCCTTCAGCAGAACCGGCCGTGGTCCATAGCGGCGTGCGGCAACCGCGATAATAGCCCAGAACAGCAGCTTGTGGTCCTGCGAGTAGTACTCCTCAGGCGAACGCACTTGATCTAAGAATGGCAGGAATGGGTGGTATAGCTGAAAGTATTCGGCGAACAGCTCGTTGACCTCACTGTGGCCCAGTCGCACTTCGCCGGCACCCAGCGAGAAGAACATGGGCGATCCGCTACGCAAGTCGAGCAGAGACGTTGCCGCCACTTGTGTATGTTGTGTCTGTAGGAAGGCGTCGTCCTCCATCTTGGGGACTGGGCCGGGAGTGAACGTGTGGTTGTCTGACGTCTGCTGCGGAGCTTTCAGAACAGGCTGGTTCGGCGTGGACTGGCCTTCGTACATGGCGAGTCGCTCTCGCAAGTATTCCATCTCCTTCTCCATCTCGGCATTCCTATTACGCTTGCCGACACGCTTGAAGTTGGGCTCGATTACGCATCGCAGGTTCTGTTTCTGGCATCGCGCACAGCTGACGAAGGGATCTTGCTGGACGTTACACTTGAGCTGCAATGGCACCGTTAGCGGGATTATGAAACATTGACATCTGACAGCTTGACGTTGGTGGTTGCAGGGCGTATACAGGCGCGGAGTATCGTAAACAGTCACACGCATTGATCTCAGTGGCGCGCACGCGGGCGCCCGGGCTTGAGATTGAGGTTCTCCATGGGCGCATGGACGGCATGTAGAAAAAAAGAACTTACCTTCTGCTGGCGACACTCGTTGCAGGCGCGCTTCACCGCGGTATTGCGCCGCGACGACGACGAGGGCCGCGTATCACCGTCGCCATTCTCATCATCGTCGCTGCTAGCCGAGCGCTTGAATCCTCTGGTGTGGGCGCTGTTGGGGCTCTGGAACGGATGCGGCAGTCCATTTAGTCCGGGCGTCGTTGGTGACATGGAATGCAGCATATTGCTCGACATATGCGACCGATATCGCAGGGAATTTAGGTTGTGAGGGTAGGTAGAAGTGGGGGTCCAGCTGAGGGAGTCCGAGGCCGCAAGCGCGTGCGAAACTTGACCGGCTGCCAGGCCACGACTCTGACTCCAATGCCGTGGGAGACTCACTCGATCATGCGCGCCTGACTGCTATCACAAGCTGCAAGCTCCTGCAGGAAGCCGCCGAACTGTGGGCTCTCAGACGCGGGCGAGCTTGTCAGAATTGGTTCTGACTCTCCAATCATAGCCTGCGACCACCCATGCTGAATCGCGGCAAGCCTCGTTCTGGCAATCTCCACCGTAACTATCCGGGCCCTACACCTACGCGTTATGAACCGGTTTCTTGGACTTTTCGCGTTTTGGCTGGGTATTCCAGGACTAGCCCTGGTGCGCTGAAGATTCTCGATGTCGCATGCGTAGGAGCGTGAGAGCGCGCGAAACAGGACCATCAAAGTCTGAGGTCATTCACGCTTGCATTATTGTCATCGGACGTGTTGGCAGAAGGTTAGTGCATGCATCGTCAACATGTGGGATGAAAGAATGAGAATGGGAACACTGGTTCTTCGCGTCACAACCTTCAACGGAAAAGCTGAACACACTAGACCCTACATTAACTTTAGGTCACCTACTTTGCATGCTCTTATGTCAATATAGGCTGCAGACCTGTTGATTTATTCTTTCTATAAGGTGCCGTCACAACTTCAATCTTTAGATCAGGTTGCAAAGTGTCAGATTTCCAAGTCGTACTGCTGTGATTTCCCATCCGAAGAGGTGATTTCATGAGGACCAGTGGTAAAGTGTAAGTTCAGGGCATGCTTTCACTATCATGACGCAGGTTACATGTACATTCAGGCAGGCCTGGGTTGAACATGGTGGTGTGAATTGTTGGCGTTGCCTTGGCCGCTGTTGAACCTCGCGCACAGGTCAAAGGATTTTGGACACCCATACTAGCATTCGAGACTGGAAAAGCATGCAAGCCACCAAGCCCTCATCATACTGTCACACTGCAGTCTGTCGGCAAACATAGCGTGTAGCTTGTGGATGTATTCGTGACCCTACTCAGCTACATCCTGGCGGAGTGACGTACAAATCGTCTTGATATCGTAAAAGCCGACCGAACCAGGAGACTGCCCATAATGCACATGAACACCGAAGACCCAGTTTTGACATGCTAAACCCCTTGACACTCAATGCAACCGCTTAACGCTTCTTTTGCTGGGACTCCTTGAGGACCTTCTTGACGACCTTCTGCTCCTCGATCAGGAAAGCACGGACGATGCGGTCCTGGACGCAGCCGGCGCATCGCGATCCACCGTAGGCGCGCTGGACGGTCTTCTTGGGGCGGGAGATCTGGGCGTACTCGCGGGGGCGGAGGGCGGGGATACCCTGAAGCTTGGTACCGCAGTCCTACAAACTGTCAACAACAAGGCTTTGTATCCTTCCGAGTCTGACTTACACCGCACTTGGGGGCAGTACCCCTCTTCTTGATGTGCAGGTAACGGAGTTCACCACCGGGGGTCTTGATGACGCGGACCTTCTGGCTCCTGGTGTTGTAGGGCGCGCGACGCCTCTGCCCAATGTCAGTCTTTGCTTCCAACGATCCCAAGATCCTCATTCGCCTGGTCCAGGGCTCGGGAGTGCGGTGCGACGTACGTAGGTGAGTCTGTTGGACGGCATTGTGAAAGATTTCCCGGGGAATCAGTGGGCGATTGTCTGTGAGCGTGTGAGCGAAATGATGTCGGAGGTGGTGTCGCAAAGGGCGATAATCGTACCTGGGTCTGGAAAGGGATTGTTAGTATCGTCGAAGAAATTCGCAGGACGGCGAGCTTGCTTACCACTGTTGTCGTCGTTGGTTAGTGAGGCAGCGAAAATCGTCGTGTGCTCGGTTAGCCGACCTGCGCTAGCACGCTAGACAAGGAAGCCGTGATCCACTATCACGTGATGAGCGCCCGTGCACGGAGGCCTGGCAAGAAGATTCACTAGACTATGGTATGCGCACATCTCCATCGCCACTCCACACAACGCGCAGAGGGTGTATCTCTGCTTCGTGTGCCCTGCCAACTATACGACTTTCGAGCTTCTGGAGACAGTCTGGAGACCCACGCGCCGACGCGACTTCCCCTTCTTCGACCGCGGCGCCGTCCGCAAAGCTCAGGATTCGACTCCTAAGCTTGTCGCGCGACCAACTGTGCTCAATCCACGAGTTCAGTGTAGCACTGTGATCGCGTTATAGAGGTCAGTAATCCCCTTTAGCCTTTTATCTTGTACGAGCCTTCTAGCTCCTACAATCTCGACACTTGATACAAGAGGCGCATAATTCCTCCAGTCTCGCGTTTTCATCCCCTCTAACGGCAACAGATTTCTTTTCCTAATATCAGTCAACATGGCTTTCCCCCCACCCCCGCCGCCGCCTCCACCAGGCCCTCCAGGTGCTGGATACGCGCCGCCACCACCACCGCCTCCGCCAGGTCCTCCGGGCTCCGGATATGCGCCGCCACCGCCGCCTCCTCCAGGACCACCAGGTGCGCCTGGTACAGTAGGCCCTCCCGGTATGCGGCCACCTGTCGACCCGCAAGTTGCGAAGTTTGCCCAAAAGAAGAAGGACTGGTTACGGCAACAGCGCCAAAGGTTCGGCGAGAAGCGCAAGGCAGGATTCGTCGAGACACAAAAGGCGGATCTACCCCCAGAGCATTTGCGCAAGGTGTTCAGGGATATCGGCGATGTGTCCCAGAAGAAATTCACCACGGACAAGCGAAGTTATCTCGGTGCGCTCAAGTTCATGCCGCACGCGGTTCTGAAGCTTCTGGAGAACATGCCCATGCCCTGGGAGAGTAGACGAGACGTAAAAGTCCTCTACCACACCAACGGATGTCTGACCCTGGTCAACGAGGTTCCTCGTGTGATCGAGCCCGTCTTCCACGCACAATGGGCAGCCATGTGGCTGGCTATGAGGAAGGAGAAGAGCGATCGCCGACACTTCAAGCGCATGCGTTTCCCGCCTTTCGACGACGAAGAGCCGCCCCTGTCGTACTCGGAAAACATCGAAGACGTTGAGCCCCTGGAGCCTATTCAGTTGGAGCTGGACGAGGACGAAGATAGCCCTGTGTACGATTGGTTCTACGAACACCGCGCGCTTCTCGATACCCCACATGTCAACGGGCCCAGCTACGAGACCTGGAATCTCGACCTGCCTCAGATGGCAACGCTATACCGTCTGAGCAAACAGCTTCTCAGCGATATTGTTGACAAGAACTACTTCCACATGTTTGACATGGACAGCTTCCAGACAGCCAAGGCACTCAATGTCGCGATACCCGGAGGGCCCCGTTTCGAGCCCTTGTATAAAGACATCGACCCGAACGACGAGGATTTTGGCGAGTTTAACGCTATTGACCGCATCATCTTCCGATCGCCTATCCGAACCGAGTACCGCGTGTCATACCCATACCTCTACAACTCCCTGCCGCGAAGTGTCAAGCTGGCTTGGTATTCTCACCCGCAGGTCGTCTACGTCCGTGCTGAGGACCCGGATTTGCCCGCTTTCTACTTCGACCCTGGAATCAACCCCATCTCTTCAAGAGCTGTAGCACCAAAGAACATCTCCGTAAGCCACGAGGATCTGGTCTTCGGTGAAGATGATGAGGACGACGAGGATGACTTCCAGATGCCCGAAGAGATGGAGCCGTTCATGGCTGACGAGGAGATTGCCACCCCAGACACTGCTTCAGCCATCGCGCTTTGGTGGGCACCCCACCCGTTCGACAAGCGATCAGGTCGTATGGTGCGGGCACAGGACGTTCCCCTTGTAAAGCAATGGTACCTTGAGCACGTTCCTGCGGGTCAGCCCGTCAAGGTCCGGGTCTCTTACCAGAAGTTGCTGAAGACGTTTGTTTTGAACGAGCTCCACAAGAAGCCGCCACAAGCACAAAACAAGCAGAATTTGATGCGGACGCTCAAGAGCACCAAATTCTTCCAGCAGACCAAGATTGATTGGGTTGAGGCCGGTCTGCAGGTTTGCCGACAGGGTTACAACATGCTCAACCTTCTCATCCATCGCAAAAACTTGACTTACTTGCATCTTGACTACAACTTCAACTTGAAGCCTGTCAAGACCCTTACTACCAAGGAGCGCAAGAAGTCACGTTTCGGAAACGCTTTCCATCTCATGCGTGAGATTCTGAGGCTAACGAAGCTCATTGTTGACGCTCAGGTCCAGTACCGTCTAGGCAATATCGACGCCTTCCAACTCGCCGATGGTATCCTTTACGCTTTCAACCACGTCGGTCAGCTGACTGGTATGTACCGTTACAAGTACAAGCTGATGCACCAGATCCGTTCCTGCAAGGATCTGAAGCATTTGATCTACTACCGATTCAACTCCGGCCCTGTCGGGAAGGGTCCTGGATGTGGTTTCTGGGCTCCTGCGTGGAGAGTTTGGCTTTTCTTCATGCGCGGTATCATTCCTTTGCTGGAGCGCTGGCTCGGAAACCTGCTCTCTCGTCAATTTGAGGGCAGACACAGCAAGGGTGTTGCAAAGACCGTCACCAAGCAACGTGTTGAGTCGCATTTCGACTTGGAGCTCCGCGCTGCTGTCATGAGTGATCTCATGGACATGATGCCCGAGGGCATCAAGCAAAACAAGGTCAACACTGTTCTGCAACATTTGTCAGAGGCATGGCGTTGCTGGAAGAGTAACATCCCTTGGAAGGTACCTGGCCTGCCAGCCCCCATCGAGAACATCATCTTGCGCTACGTCAAGAGCAAGGCAGACTGGTGGATCTCGGTTGCACATTACAACCGTGAGCGTATCCGACGAGGTGCCACTGTTGACAAGACCGTCGCCAAGAAGAACTTAGGTCGATTGACACGTTTGTGGCTCAAGGCCGAGCAGGAACGTCAGCACAATTACATGAAGGACGGTCCTTATGTCTCTTCCGAAGAAGCTGTCGCCATATACACTACCATGGTGCACTGGCTTGAGGCCCGCAAGTTCCAGCCAATTCCCTTCCCAAGTGTCTCTTACAAGCACGACACGAAGATTCTCATCCTGGCCCTAGAGCGTCTCAGGGAAGCGTATTCCGTCAAGGGCCGACTCAACCAGAGCCAGCGTGAAGAGTTGGCTCTTATTGAGCAGGCCTACGATTCTCCGGGTACGACTCTTGCGCGCATCAAGCGCTTCTTGCTCACACAGCGTGCTTTCAAGGAAGTAGGTATCGACATGAACGATAACTACAGCAACATCAACCCTGTGTACGATATTGAGCCCATGGAGAAGATCACTGACGCCTATCTCGATCAATACCTATGGTACCAGGCTGATCAGCGGCATCTGTTCCCGGCCTGGATCAAGCCTTCTGACTCCGAAGTCCCGCCTCTTCTGACCTACAAGTGGGCCCAGGGAATCAACAACCTTGACAAGGTCTGGGAGAGCCAAGATGGAGAGTGCAACGTCATGATCGAGACTCAGCTGTCGAAGGTGTATGAGAAGATTGATCTTACCATGTTGAACCGTTTGTTGCGTCTCATCATGGACCACAACTTGGCGGATTACATCACAGCGAAGAACAACGTCCAACTCAACTACAAGGACATGAACCACGTCAACGCCTACGGTATGATTCGTGGTCTCCAATTCTCTGGTTTCGTCTTCCAGTTCTATGGTCTCGTGCTGGATATCCTCCTTCTAGGTTTACAGCGTGCAAACGAGATCGCTGGTGCACCAGAGAGCCCCAACGACTTCTTGCAATTCAAGGACAAGGAGACCGAGGTGCGCCACCCGATCCGATTGTACACCAGGTACATTGACCGCATCTGGGTCTTCTTCAGGTTCACCGCTGAGGAGTCTCGCGATCTGATTCAGCGTTTCCTCACTGAGAACCCGGACCCTAACTTTGAGAACGTCATTGGATACAAGAACAAGAAGTGTTGGCCGCGTGACTCTAGGATGCGACTAATGCGCCACGATGTCAACCTTGGTCGCGCAGTTTTCTGGGATCTCAAGAACCGCCTACCACGATCGGTCACTACTATTGAGTGGGACGACACCTTCGCTAGTGTCTACAGTCGCGACAACCCCAACTTGCTGTTCTCCATGAACGGTTTCGAAGTCCGTATCCTGCCCAAGATCCGAAACTTGACTGGCGAATTCCCTGTTAAGGACAGCGTGTGGTCTCTTGTCGACAACTCCACCAAGGAGCGTACCGCAGATGCCTTCTTACAGGTGACCGAAGAAGATATTCAGAAGTTCAACAACCGCATTCGACAGATTCTGATGTCTTCTGGATCTACTACATTCACGAAGATTGCGAACAAGTGGAACACGACTCTCATTGCGCTCTTCACCTACTACCGTGAGGCTGCGGTGTCCACCGTCAACCTACTCGATACGATTGTGAAGTGCGAGACCAAGATCCAGACGCGTGTCAAGATTGGTTTGAACTCCAAGATGCCTTCGCGTTTCCCTCCTGCTGTGTTCTACACGCCCAAGGAACTGGGTGGTCTGGGTATGATTTCTGGATCTCACATTCTTATCCCAACCAGTGATAAGAGATGGTCAAAGCAGACTGACACTGGCGTCACGCATTACCGTGCCGGTAAGAAATTGCCCCGTATAAAATGGAATGAAACTTATGCTAACTTAATAGGTATGTCGCACGATGAGGAGACTCTCATTCCAAACATCTTCCGTTACATCATCCCATGGGAGTCTGAGTTCGTCGACTCCCAACGTGTCTGGATGGAATACTCCCAAAAGCGTCAAGAGGCACAGCAACAGAACCGCCGACTAACCCTCGAGGATCTGGAGGACAGCTGGGACCGTGGTCTCCCTCGTATTAACACCCTGTTCCAGAAGGACCGCAGTACCCTCAGTTTCGACAAGGGTTTCCGCGCACGGACCGAATTCAAAATTTACCAGCACATGAAGAGCAACCCCTTCTGGTGGACGAGCCAACGCCACGACGGTAAGCTTTGGAACCTCAACGCATACAGAACGGATGTTATTCAGGCTTTGGGTGGTGTTGAGACCATCCTGGAGCACACCTTGTTCAAGGCAACGGCCTTCCCATCGTGGGAGGGTCTCTTCTGGGAAAAAGCATCAGGTACGTTTTTCCGTGTACTGAGTCAAGTCTCGGTCTTTCTTTACTCATCTCTCTACACTTCCTGCCACCATCGTATTCCCCAACTGCCCGTTGCCCTATCCCTCCGTCTTATCAAAATCACGTGTCGGCTGTAAGCCTGGCTCGCGATCTTGGTTCGCAGCAACATCCTTACCAAACAACACCCTCATCACGTGCTGGCGCTGGTGCCTGGAGAGATGCATGGGCATAAAACTCTTCTACTCCTCCCCTTGTTATTTCCTCTTCTCCGTCACGACCACCCCGAACACCTCATGCTTCTGTGCACAACAATGCTAACTTTTATTTAGGTTTTGAGGAGTCTATGAAATTCAAGAAGCTCACCAACGCCCAACGTTCCGGTCTTAATCAGATTCCCAACCGTCGCTTCACACTTTGGTGGTCACCTACCATCAACCGAGCCAACGTCTACGTTGGTTTCCAGGTCCAACTCGATCTTACCGGTATCTTCTTGCACGGCAAGATCCCCACCCTCAAAATTTCGCTCATCCAGATTTTCCGTGCCCATTTGTGGCAGAAGATCCATGAGTCCGTTGTTATGGACTTGTGCCAGGTCTTCGACCAAGAGCTCGAGGCTCTCGGTATCGAGACGGTGCAGAAGGAGACTATCCATCCGCGAAAGTCGTACAAGATGAACAGTTCTTGTGCTGATATTCTCCTCTTCGCCAGCCACAAGTGGAGCGTATCACCACCATCTATGCTTTACGACACCAAGGACACCATGAGCGCCACTACGACAAACAAGTTCTGGATTGACGTTCAATTGCGATACGGTGACTACGATTCTCACGACATTGAACGTTACGTCCGCGCCAAGTACCTCGACTACACTCAGGACAGTATGAGCATTTACCCGTCCGCTACTGGTCTCATGATCGGTATCGACCTGGCTTACAACTTGTACTCTGCATACGGACAATACTTCCCTGGTCTTAAGCAACTCGTTCAACAGGCCATGGCAAAGGTCATGAAGGCTAACCCTGCGCTCTACGTCCTCCGAGAGCGTATCAGGAAGGGTCTTCAGCTGTACGCATCCGAGAGTTCTCAAGAGTTCCTCAACTCACAGAACTACTCCGAGCTGTTCAGCAACCAGATCCAGCTGTTCATCGACGATACCAATGTCTACCGTGTGACAATCCACAAAACCTTTGAGGGTAACTTGACGACCAAGCCTATCAACGGTGCTATCTTCATCTTCAACCCTCGTACTGGACAACTGTTCTTGAAGATTATCCATACTAGTGTTTGGGCTGGTCAGAAGCGTCTTGGTCAACTAGCCAAGTGGAAGACGGCCGAAGAAGTAGCGGCTCTTATCCGGTCTCTGCCTGTGGAGGAGCAGCCGAAGCAGCTCATCGTCACTCGTAAGGGTCTGCTTGACCCTCTTGAGGTGCACTTGCTTGACTTCCCCAACATCTCCATCCGTGCCTCGGAACTGCAACTGCCCTTCCAGGCGGCTATGAAGGTCGAGAAGCTCGGTGACATGATCTTACGAGCGACTGGACCTCAGATGGTGCTCTTCAACTTGTACGACGAATGGCTGAAGACCATCTCCTCATACACGGCCTTCTCCCGTTTGATCCTCATCCTGCGCGCCCTGCACGTCAACCAGGACAAGACGAAGCTGCTCTTGCGTCCAGACAAGACTGTCATTACACAGGAGCATCACATCTGGCCCTCACTAGCTGACGAAGACTGGATCAAGGTTGAAGTTCAACTTCGAGATCTCATCTTGCTTGATTACGGCAAGAAGAACAACGTCAACACTTCATCCCTCACCAGCAGTGAAGTGCGTGACATCATCCTGGGTATGGAGATCTCAGCTCCTTCGATGCAACGTCAGCAGGCTGCCGAGATCGACAAGCAGCAGGAGGAGCAACAGCAGTTGACTGCTGTCACGACTAAGACGCAGAACATCCACGGTGAAGAGATGGTTGTCACGACTACATCGCAGTACGAGCAGGCATCCTTCGCCTCTAAGACCGAGTGGCGGACGAGGGCTGTGGCTACTTCCAACTTGCGCACTCGTGCGAACAACATCTACATCAACTCTGAGGATGTCAAGGAGGAAGGTCACTTCACGTACGTCATGCCCAAGAACGTACTGAAGCGCTTCATCACCATCGCCGATCTCCGTGTCCAAGTTGCCGGTTACCTGTACGGAAAGTCGCCAGCGGATAACGACCAAGTCAAGGAGATCAGCACCATCGTCATGATTCCTCAAGTAGGCAACACCCGTGATGTTCAGCTACCCAAGGAACTGCCTAATCATGAGTACCTGGACAATCTCGAGCCCCTCGGAATCATTCACACTGTCAGTGGCAACGAGCCGCCATACATGCAAGCCAGCGACGTCACTCAGCACGCTCGCCTTATGAACCAGCACCCTAGCTGGGACAAGAAGACCGTCTCAATGACAGTTTCCTTCACTCCTGGTTCCGTTTCGCTCGCTGCATGGGCCCTCACTCCTGACGGCTACAAGTGGGGTGCTCAGAACAAGGACACCATGTCTGACAACCCAACTGGTTTCAGCACCAGCTTCGGTGAGAAGTGCCAGTTGCTACTTTCAGACAAGATCCGAGGTTACTTCCTCGTACCAGACAACGGCGTCTGGAACTACAGCTTCATGGGTAGCACATTCGGTACCGTGGAGAAGAGGCCGGTTCATGTGCGTCTCGACACACCTGTACGCTTCTACGACAGCATCCATCGCCCATTGCACTTCCACAACTTCGCTGAGTTGGAGGATGTCTGGGTCGATCGCGAGAACCAGTTTGAGTAGACGGGACGATGTACAACAAAAGGAGGAGTGTATCTGAGTAGGAGTATACCCTCTGACGGCGTTCCTAGGGATTTGGCGTTTTTTGCATCATCGCATCATTGATTGCATGGATAGTGGAGAATGGGCGATGATTGAGATTGGGTAGCAAAAACGTGCATAGTGTATTATAATGTTTTCAGCGAAATGCATATTGAACTCACAATATTTCTTCTCTGTCGTTGTGATTACTGCGCCTGCTGCTCTGAACTACTCGATATTCCGCTGTCTGTACTAAGTTCTTCTACCGATGAGCCAGCGTTTTGCTCCTGCGCTCTAACACCTTTGGCTCCAGCAATGGCGATGGTGAGAGGAGAGGGTTGAACGTTGTGACTATTCCGCTACTCAGCATTGAAAACCAGCTATTCAAGCACCTATAACTTACCCTTGCTCTTCTTATGCTCGAGACTAAATGCCAAATCCCCCTTGTCAGATGTACTTGACGATATCGAAACTGACGTCATAGGTTTGGTCGCAAGCTTCAACGGCCGCTTTCCGCTTTCTGTGGGTTGTTCGCGCGTCATGGCACTCGAATTCTTGAAGGTCTTGTGCGATGAGAGAGGTTGGACTCGGATTAGATAAGAGTGTGCTGTTGATGATAGGAGATTTGCGCTGTTCTGCACGTGGTGCCCCGCATCATCTTAAACCTTCGATACTTCCCAACGCGGTCAGCAATAAACGAGTACTTGCACTTGCTCTCTCAGCCTTTGTGGCTTTGCGCCTCATCTCCTCACAAGCATGCCACAGCCTCTATTCCATCATCCACAACCCACCTGCCTCGCTCTTTCCGGGTGCTGTATGACACACGCCTCGCCCACAACCGCCCACTTTCGAAGCCATATGCCTTGATGTAAAGGTTTTCGAAGCACAAGTTCATCGAGACATCCTCAAGACTTTGGAAAGTATCCACGACCTCTCGCGCTGTTTCTAGGACCGCAGAGTGTGCTTGTCGCTTGGGGTCCAACCATGTACAGGGAATCGGACAGAATTTTACGTCGAGAGTCCTATGTTCTTTGTTCTTATCACTGGGATCTCTTGCAATCATCTCCAGAAATAGTTTTATGCCGTTGCGCAAGCGCTGTTGGTTTGTCTGAAGTTGCCAACAATCGAATTCGAGCTTGATAAAGACGACGAATTTTCTGATGTTCTTGGCGATAGCACAAAAGTTGGTGTTGAAGTGTGCATTTTGGGGGTGCTTCTGATTGTTGAGCATCTTTCCACAGGGCGCCAATTTGAAAGGCTGGTTGCAGAGTCGAATATCCATCGAGACTATGTCGATTTTTACCTCGAAAAATTTTTGTTTGTAGAGCACTGTGCGAACTTCGTTGCTGATTTGCTTCGCGGCGAGCATTATGTTTAGGATTCTCCCGCATCCCGTGTTTTCGTCTCGCTGGGCCACCGGCAACCTTTTCCTGATACTCTCAGGAAGATAATAGCTGATGATCATCTCGCGAAGTTCGAGGGGAAGATCCATGATGCGAAACTTCCAAGGCTGGCCGTGATGCTCGGAGCAGGCTCCGGGTGCCGTCTCGAACCAAGGGCAGGGTGCGACCTGCGAGGGTTTACTGCACGGTAATCCTGTCCCAGTGAGATATTGACAGCGTCTCGACATCTTGTGACTGGGTACTGGCGAGATCGGTTTGAAGTAGATACAGTGGTTCTCGCCGGTTGAGTAAGGTGATGTCAATTGTGATGAGATGTGGTCTTTTTTTTTGAACGTAGATGGGAATGAGAAGCATGGAGAAAGAGACTTTTGCGGCACTTTATACAACTGGACACCGGAGATAATGGCATGACGCAGCGAAAAGTAGAACACGAAACCATGGTTGCGCGCCACCATACGAAGGTCTACCACGATTCTGACACGGCCCACAATTGGCGAGCCACTCACGAATACTGCGATTCAAAACAGATCTGCAGACTACACTAAGAGAAAACAAGCGAAGCATAGAATCTGGCGTTACTATAGGCTCCCGAGGTCCAGTGTGTTCAGTTTCCCCTAATTCCAACGCGCCTTCAGTAACCCTTGAACCTCATCATCGTACCACTTCCATCCCGCCGGCACAGCGCACCCAAACTCATCCCAACCATGGTCTAACCTGCTCATGTCCAAGTCACCTACGTACCAACCTGGCGGTTTCTCATCATTCTGGAGAGCTTCGATTTGCATCAAACTAATATCTTTGTACCGCCTCGGAACGATGAATTGGGCTGGATGTGAACAATCTGTTGGATCGATGAGGTACTCATACTTCAAACATGGGGCTGTGACCACGTGAGTGGAAAGTTTGTAGTGAGATGGGGAAAAGCGGAGTCTTCCCTGATGATCTTCGACAGGAGGTGGACAGAACACTGGGAGGAATCGAAAACTTGCGTGAGTGGTCGTTATATCGGGTTTGGTTGGTTGGCGAATGCCGTCAACATTAAGCGCTATCGTCCATGTGTGATTATCGCCGATGCGACGATGGCCATAATCTACAAGCGACGTCAACACCGGCTGATGCTCTGAGACTGTACAGTTTTGTGCATCGCGTATATCTAGAGGCTCGGTGGGTAGATCGAGAATACGCTTCTTTGTCTTCAGGAGCCGTGCGAGACGATCTAGTGAACCATCCGCTGCATTTTTCAGGAGAAACGAGCGTTGAAGAATGAAAGTCGGATAGGGTAGAAGGGAGTATGCGTGTGACCAAGTGATGATGTTGAGGGCTTCGGTTACCGAGGGCTCGAGCAAAGCAGCGCAAAGCGGGGAATCGCAGGTGCTGAGGAGGGCCAAATGAGGGCAATCGCATGACGGATGTGATTTCTCTTTCTGCCTGCAGTTGTGAACATGCTTCTCGTAGTGATATAACTGTCATTTGTTAGCCCTACGCGTTTTCCTCAAAGCAGATTCAGCTAGAAAGGGCGTACTTCATCGCAGTCTTCGAGTGGCGGCGGGATCTCAGGCCTAACCCATCCATCCTTCTCTAGGTATGCTTGCATTTTCATAGTTGAAGAGCCTCTTCGAACAAAGATCATCATTTGCTTTGTGCAATGTCTGCGAACGAAAAAGTAGAGTGCAGTGGTGTTGCTGATGATTGCATCAGTTTCTGCTTGGATATTGCGAAACTCCACCGGTGAAGCGAAAAACGGTTTCAATGCTTTGTTGATGTCGTATTGAGTTTTGATGGTGGTTTCATACACATGCCCTAGCTTTTTACAGACGCGAGACAAGGCTATGATATCCCTGATCTCGAGTTGCTGCAAGATAGACGCTTGAACTGGGCCGTATCGATCGATAAGACCCACAAGGTCGAACATTCCCGAGTCAAATATCGTTGCCGATGTCATGATAAGATAGGCGTTTCGGAAAGGAGTGCATGAGTATATAGAAGAGAGAAGAGAAGAAGAACAGGCAAAGAAAAACGCTATATGTCAGTCTGAGAGTGTGAAGCGGACTGTCAAGGAAGATTTGATGTGATCAGGAGATAAAATCAGTACATATGCATCAGAGATCGACAAAAGAAACACAAAATGCAGACACATCTATAGTCCATCACTCCCGCTTCAACCACGCCAAATTCACAGCACTCAAACACCCTTCCTTCCCCTTCTCCAACCACCCCAACAAATTCTCCATACCCAACCTCTCAAATCCAACATGACTCTCCACACTCGCACCCGCCGTATGACTCAACACCATAACATTATTCCTCTGGACCAACCTCTCATTCACATGCGGCTCATTAGCATGAACATCCAGCCCCGCCGCCCCAACAATCCCATCATCCAACGCCTTATTAAGCGCCTCCTCGTCCACCAACTTGCCCCTCGCAATATTCACAAGCCTCGCCCCCTTCTTAAACTGCGCGAATTCCTTCGTCGAAAGCAGCGTGTCCCCCGAGAACGGCGTAGCAAGTAATACGCAATCAGACGACGACAGCAACTCCTCCAGGCTCGCACACCACCTCGCCCCAATCTCCTTCTCCCTTTCTTCCATCCTCACAACATCGTAATAAGCAATCTTCATGTCAAAAGCGCGACTAGCTTTCTCCGCAACACGCATACCGATGCGGCCCAATCCCACGATACCGAGCGTGCTGCCATTGGGATTGTGCGTCACGGCCGCAATGTTCTGGTTCGCGTTGCGGAACTGCTCTGGGTCGCACGATCGCGCTGCGAGGAAGGACCAGGTGATTGCGCGGTAGCAGGACAGGATTAGTACGATGGCGGCGTCGGCGACGGATTCGGTGCATGCGGAGGCGCTGTTGCAGTATATGGTTCCTGCGTGTGAGGCGAGGTACTGCGTGTTTACCCAGTCGAAGCCTGCGCCGGCTGAGGCGTAGATTTCGCAGGATGAGGGGAGGAGGTCGCTTGGGGGAGGGTTAGTGCGTGGGGTTAGGAGGGGAGGGGATGGTGGTGGACTTACATGAGTTCTTCATCCCAGTTCCCCATTTCACCGCCTGTGTTCCAGAAGGGTCGGTACATGCCTACGAAATCGCCCCATTTCTTCTCTTTGAGCGCTTGTTTGAAGTCTTCTCTGCACATTGAGTACGTTCTTATGATGTTGAATTTGTTGTTTAGCTCTGCGTACAAGTCATGGTTCCACCGGATATCGTCGCCAAGGTGAAGTATCGTTGGCTTTGACGCAGACGAAGCGTTCGATGCCAAAGGTGAGGTTTCGTGTGGTGTTGCAGGCGCGGGCAGCCCAGAGTCTTGGGGTGTTGGCGTTGCGGATGACATGGTTTATCGTCGAATGTATAAATGCTCAGATGCGATGAATATGCGAGTAGAAAGACAGTATGAAAGCAAACGTTTATCGATGGCCGAAGTGCAGAGAGTAAAATGAAGCAGCCGCCGATTTCGCTGGCTCTAAAAGGCACTCTCTCGTCTCGCACTCCGCTCTCAAGACCCTAAAAGTGATGTAAACCCGAGAACCAGACACTCGGGTACACTTGCTTAATATCGCAGCCTTCTAGATCTCCTTC